AGTTGGCTACCTTTGGAATAAACTGTATCTTAAGCTAGTGTTAAAGCATTGTGTTGCTAAATTCAGTAAGGGCTAACTCAAAGTTTGAGTATTATCTCAATAAATGGATGTGATTGGTCTTGAAAACTGTTATTTTTTCATTTAACCCAGTGATCACCTTGTCAAATATATTTGGCATTGTGAGGTAAGAACACAAGGCAAGAATGTGACCTAAAAATAATTTCAGTTGTATTTGATAACTTGCTATACATTGGGGTGGGAAAAGCCTGCTTCTTGTTCTGCATCTAACCTCCCCTCTTTTGTCCCCAAATGTTTTCACCCCACCACCACCCAAGTTTTAAGGAGTAATTTTGCCACATTTTTGTGTATCAGATTTTATGTAGAAGAGAGGCCTTTTTTCCTACTAGAAATGCCCTACTATTTGATGGGCTGTTGGGAAAAAGGCTTGTCATAGACCTGAAAATTTCCCCTCTCTCTGCAATACTCCAGGGAACATTTTGAGTAACAGAAAAACATTTTCAGGGACCTGCAACCTTCAGTATGACTCTCTAGCCCTCTGCTGAAGACCCTCTGTCTTGAAAACCACCACCTATGCTAAATAAATCTTCAGCAGAATTCCACCTCTTGGCTGAACGAATGGAGCTGTCAGTTTTGCACATCTCAACAGCATTAAGTAGCTGGAGCTGTCAGCCTAACTGAATGTGGCTCTTTACTGACAGTCCGCTGAGTGGGGAGGAAGATATAGAAGGAAGAACAGCTAGCCAGATAGAAAATATAGAGATTCCAGAGAAATTTTCACCAATTGATGCCTGACTGTCTTTGGGTCTTGGGAGAGTCAAATCCAAAGTATCTGATCTATACAAGTTGGTAGCCTGGTTTAAATGTGCCTAAATGTTTATTGCTATTGGATATCTATTTTTCTTCATGGGAATGCTTTGGAAAAGCATTGTGTTTGCTATTGGAAAACATATGGTAACTATCAGGTGTGTGTCACGTGGTTTTGAGGAATCAACCACCTCCAAGATGCTGAGTAGCAAGCTAGGTTCTCCTGCTTGATGCTTGCATTGGCATTTTTTTAGTCAGAGGAATACAATTTGGAGCAATTACAACTGCCCACAAGTGTTTTATCATTTAACAGCTGAGCGTATGTCTTTATGTACATCTCCTTTGTGAAGGTGTACTGTATTTTGATTTGATGCCTTCACAGAGTATGAAGGAGCTATGGCAAATAGGGCATTCAGCCGGTGAAACGAGAAATCTCCCAACAGAAGATTCTTAGAATTCTTTCTTATTCAGAAAGGAAGAAGCTTTTGCTGAGCTCTTCTCTTACAGAACACATACAGATGTAACATTTACATACACTGGAATGATTCAGGGAAGCTCGTAGTTTGGGAAAAAAACCTTCTGAGATAGTTGGCCTTGGGTGGATTCCAGGCCAACTATTTTTGATCAGATTAAATGTGACAACAAATCACTTATATGTCTTTCTCTAACACTTATTTTCATTGCCAGATTGCATATGCCAGAATTGAAGGCGACATGATCGTCTGTGCTGCATATGCTCATGAGCTGCCAAAATATGGTGTGAAAGTAGGCTTGACCAACTACGCTGCTGCCTATTGCACGGGCTTGCTGCTGGCTCGCAGGGTATGTATTTCTAGAAGATAGGGATAAATTTTGCCTCCCAGGTCGAAAGAAGATGTATTTGAAAGACAGTATACCTTGATATGAGTGTGCCCGAGTTTTGAGATCCATTAGAAGGGTATCTGTTTGTCCCACCATCTTCATTGTCATATGTTGAGAGGATGTAGATAAGGCTTTCTCAGCCCCGCCATTGATGAGAATGTGATAATGGCTACTCATAGGGCCCTTCCAGACAGGCTCTGTATTTATACTAGGATGATTTTAATGCTTTGTCTAAATGTTTTCATTTTGTTTATGTCATATGTTTAATGTTTTAAATGATTTTAAGTCAAAGTTATATGTAGTAATTCGTTACGATTTCTTTGTGTTACTGTATGTTGGCAATGATTTTTTGCCATTAATATGCTTTATGTCTACAACAATACGTTGTAAACCGCCTTGAGTCCCCCAGGTGTGAGAAAGGCAGTATATAAATACAGTAAACAAATAAGTACATATCCCAGAATCTGATCTCAGGTTTTCTGCTTTAAACTGGATTATATGAGTCTCCACTGCCAGATAATCTGGGGTAAACAGAAAACCTGGGATCAGATCATGGGATATAGGGCCTGTCTGGAAGGGTGCATAGTCTGTAGAACTTCTTTCTGCTGAATACCTTCCTGGGGCTATTTCTGTTAAGAGTCAAAGTATCAACTCTATTGATACAAGATATAAATAAGTAACTAACTCTTGCAAAAGGGTTTTTAATTTAAAAGTGTGAGTTTGATATTTTGAAAAAAAAAACTACAAACATACATTTAAGTTGATAAATATCCCTATGAGTATATAGCTTATGAGATAATACCTTTCTTGAAATGTACCTGTAACTGCTTCACAGGGAAATTACAAACTACTGATTTTTAGTTCATATGACCTGTGGGGCATTTTGTTCAAATGCTGTTCTCATTGTTCAGGTCTGATAGGGTTTTAGTTTATTCTAAACTAAATGTGTATTCTTCATTTGCAGCTTCTCAACAAATTTGGCCTTGACAAGGTCTACGAAGGCCAAGTTGAAGTGACTGGTGATGAGTATAATGTTGAAAGTGTGGATGGGCAACCTGGTGCCTTTACATGCTACCTGGATGCTGGTCTTGCTCGAACTACAACTGGGAACAAGGTCTTTGGTGCTCTAAAAGGCGCCGTGGATGGTGGCCTCTCAATTCCACACAGGTAATGTTTCAGTTTTCTAGATTGATAGAAGTTTGGGTCGACAACCTAGTGTCCTTGATAAGTTTTGAACTACACCTCTCAGAACTAGCTATGTTGGGCAGTTGTAGGGCAAAGTATTGGAGAGTGGTGGAGTTCCTTCACTGGAGTTTTTTAAGCAAGGCTGGTTGTAATTTAACCTTGATTTTGATTTAATTTAAATGCTTACTTTACTTATTTATTTACCTTACCTATATACCGCTGTTCTCAGCCCGAAGGCGACTCACAGTGGTTCACAACAAATACGAACAGCAAAAATTCAGTGCTACAGTATAGAAACAGTTAACAACCTAACACATTACACAATTAATGAACAGTTACTGCAATACCCATTCACTGTTGTCTCGTCATCAAAAACATGTTCCAGATTCGTCATCCATTGTTCCATTCCAGTGTTCATTAACCAATCATTGCACTAATTATTGGAACGCCTGCTCAAACAGCCAGGTCTTCACTTTTTTGCGGAATAACATTAGAGATGGTGCTAGTCTAATGTCCGTAGGAAGGGCGTTCCACAGCCGAGGAGCCACCACCGAGAAGGCCCTATCTCTCGTCCCCGCCAGCCGAGCTTGAGAAGCAGGCGGGATCGAGAGCAGGGTCTCCCTGGAAGATCTCAAAGTCCTGGTGGGTTCATAGGCAGAGATGCGGTCGGATAGGTAGCTTGGGCCGGAACAGTTTAGGGCTTTAAAGGCCAACGCCAGCTTTGAATTCAGCCCGGTAGCAGATCGGTAGCCAGTGGAGTTGGCGCAACAGGGGGGTTGTATGCTCCCTGTGCTCCGCTCCTGTTAAAATCATGGCTGCCGAGCGTTGGACTAGTTGGAGCTTCCAGCCCGTCTTCAAAGGCAACCCCACGTAGAGAGCGTTGCAGTAGTCTAAACGAGATGTACTTGCATATGGTTTTTAAGGCACTGAAATGTTGCCTATGTTGTGATCTGCCTTGAGTCTCTTTCAGAGTTGAGAAAGGCGGGATATAAATATAGTAAATAAAATAAATTGATTCTATATTCTTGTGTGGCAGAGGGTTGGACTGAGTGGCCCATATCATGTCTTCCAACTCTGTGATTCTGTTACACTATCTCCCCCCAGTTTAGCACATTTGTTTGGAAGTGGACAACTGCTTACTTGGCTTAGTTAGGTTTCTAACTGATGGGCTCAGTCATCTTTTGTGGGAAGGGTTTTACTGTTTAAACTGTTAATCATTTTTAGAAATGAGACAATCTGCTTCTTTCCTTCCTTTCTTCCATCCGTGGTTTTGGCTTTGTAATCTGGGTTCATTGTCTTTCCCCTGAGTTACTGTAAATACCCTGAAAGCATCCGATCCTATCTGATACACAATATACCAAGTTTTACTATGCTTAGCTTTACTTTTCTTTCCTTTTAATAAAGACTTATGGTGAGCTTGGAACTTACTTATACCAAAGGAAACTTCTTGCATGAATAGGATGCTTTCTGTGAGCATCTGGTTGTGCAGAGATTTTCTATATTTTATATTTTATCATTATAATAATATAATAATAAAACTTTATTTATATCCTGCCCTCGCTCCTCTGGGGATTTGGCAGTTTCCAACAAGCACCGGCAAACATTCAGTACCATAATAATAAAACATTACAATGAAAATTAAACAGTGACTTCACAAAAATTAAGATTTCGACACCTAAACATTAAAAGACAAGAGCTTACAATTTAAACTATTAACAATATAAAATTTAAAATCTAATCAAGTCAAAATAACATTAAATAATATATTGTTTTGACTACTAGAACGTTTTGACAAATATTAGCCAGAATAATAGATTACCATATATACTACTATAAGCTGAGTTTTTCAGCACATTTTAGGCTGAAAAACTCCCTAGGCTTATATATAGGTTGGCTTATAGTCGAGTATATACAGTAATTTCATTGGTATCTATTTTTATTTTTGAAATATACCAGTAGCTGCTGCATTTCCCAACCTTAGGAATAAGTTTTCCCAGTTTTTTTCTGTCTCAGCTTATATTCCGGTCGGCTTATACTCAAATATATATGGTAGTTTTTCTGCTGCCTCACAAGCAGTAGTTCTAGAATTCCCAAATAACCCACCTTTGCCTTTTGTCTTCAATTTGGCTGCTACGTGATGATATCCCACTGCCTGAACATACTGTAGTTGGTCCTTGGCATGTGTATGATGTATCTCACTGTTTCAAGACGGGACTGATGGTGGCTAAAGCTCTTGAAATCCGCCTGTCTGTCTCAGATCATATCAGAATTTACTCAAAAAGGTCTGTAATGTTTCACTCCTGTTTCGCAGTACCAAGCGCTTCCCTGGTTATGACTCAGAGAGCAAAGAATTCAATGCTGAAGTCCACCGCAAACACATCATGGGTCAAAACGTTGCAGATTACATGCGCTACTTGATGGAGGAGGATGAAGATGCTTATAAAAAACAGTTCTCTCAGTACATAAAGAACAACGTGACATCTGACATGGTACGTTGGTGGTTCATTCATTACTGTTTGCAACATAGTTTCATAGGAAAAATATTAACAAGTAGCTTCTGGAGCTTGCCTATATTTTCTGAACCATATGAATCTTGCAGATCCATAAACATCAATTGTTTACTGAGCATATGGTCTATACAGGACTTAACTGTACATACCTCAATTGCAAATACACTTCAGAATGTGATCAGTTTCCTGACTTCTTGAAGTTCCTTTCTTGGTTCAATGGGCAAATATTTCCTGTGTTCTTCTTTCCTATGGGAATTCTTTTCTCCTAAGGAAAGGGCTCCATTCCTCAAATTCATGAATAGTTTTAATACTGGTAGTAGTTTTCGGTTGGGAGCAATGGTTGCAGGACAGATTTTTTTAAATAGATCAAGACAATGTGATGGGATTCCTTGTATCTTTCTTATACCTGGAAGGCAATGAATCCTAAATACAGCCTGCAACTAGCCCTTCAGGATACAGGAACAAAAGGCTATGGATAACTGATCTGCAAGACTGCTTAAACTGGCCTAGCACTTTAGTTAGAGATAATTTATTAGCATAATTGAATGTGATCACAGTTGTTCCTTGGCTTTTCCAGAGAAAATCAATTCATAGTGTTAAGCTAGTTGTCTTTGGTGCCTGGAAGCCCTATAAAAATTCCCCTTGATAGATTTTTTAGTCTCTAGCTCATATGTATGGATTGCTGATAGCCATGTGAAAATATTATAGGAAAAAAACTCACAGACACTTCTGTAACCAAGCTTGGGCTGCTTCAACAGGACTAAGTGGCATGATGCCATCAATGGGTGATTTCAGTGTCCTATTAAACACTTGCATAAAGTGAATTTGCTTTAAGTTAATCTGCTTTTAGGCCTCTTGTTTCTAAAAATGCTAAAATTTCATTTTGCTTGTTGCACTGTTTTGATTAGTTTTACACCAATTTTTCACATTTCTCAGGCAGTACTATACATTAAATTTAAATTGATTTTTAAATATCCTTGTCTCAGATGGAGGAAATGTACAAAAAAGCCCACGCTACAATACGCGAGAATCCAGTTCACGAAAAGAAACCCAAGAGGGAAGTCAAAAAGAAGAGGTGAGATGGCTTTCATTCTTTTATGCTATATATAGGAAAGGTGATTGGGGGCAATACTTGAATGGGTGAAGGCTATGTCATGGATTTGTCTGTTGTTGCTAAACATCAGTGCTTTCTCATGCCACCTTTGGGACCAAAGATATATATATATATATATAGAGAGAGAGAGAGAGAGAGAGAGAACGAACAAACATTTGGACATCTGCAAGCCTAGCATGGGAATGGGTTTTCACAGCCTAGGAGGCAGGCATACATATTTTGGTAAACTTGAGCGGGGAGGGTTTAAAGGGTAGAAAAATCAAGGTTTTCACACACGTTTCTTATTAGCAATTTTGCTGAGTTGTAGTAACCAGGCACTAAAGTTGTTATTTTCAGGGATCATTGTGAGTGAGTTCAGTTGCCAGAGGGCTTCTGCAAACCCTCTCAGGCTAATGAACTGAAGCTTAATATGGATATTAACAAATACCATGGATTAGGAAATTGTTATTTTGACTGGAGGTTTAGACGTAATTCTCAATGGGATATTTCCTCTGAAGGTAAGGGGTTTTAGGAATGCTCCTGGTGTCATTGACACACAAGCATGGATGCCATTGGCTGATATGGATGCTTTTTACCAACTTAGGATGTTGACATCTTTAACTTAGATGTATCAAAGGTTATGGCCAGATCATAGTTTTAGAAGATGTCAACATCTTAAGTTGGTAAAAAGCATCCATATCAGCCAAATGTGTCCATGCTTCTGTGTCAGTGACTCCAGGAGCACTCCTTGATTTCTATAGTGTTTTCTTTATAGATGACAAAGAAACGGAAGTTGTTACAGAATGTAGTAGATGTCATGATTGTGGGAATTTGTATCACACTACACCCGTTTATTGTGTGCATTAGCATAAAGTTTAAGAGTTCTAGTTTTGGCCTTTAAAAGCCAAAATGACTAGATTTTAATGAACTGTCTTGAGCATTAAAATTGGCTTTGGAGGCCAGTAAGGGCTATTCAACTCTTGATAAAACTTGCTCAGTTCTTGTCTCACACCTTTGGCAACCCCTCCCCATGGAGACATATGGCCTCATATCTATTAGCTACTTTTTTGTAAATCAAAGCATTTATTCTGATCTTTAATTGGTACTTAACAATTTTTGGATGATGTGTGTTGAAAGTGCACGTCTCTGAAATCTTTTCAACCATCCTGTGAAGTTAGTGTACTTGGAAAGACAGAGTTAAAACTCCTTAGGCAGTAGAAATTTCCTTACATAATATATTTATCAAAAATGCTGTGCCTGTGAAACCAAAATGGCTCTTCTGTATATATTTACATGGGAAATGATGTAATCTGCCTTGGGGGATGGGGAGGGTGAACACAGAAAGAAAATGCTCCTTGCCTTATGTTAGAAACTAGGACTTCCTAGCACAATATGGCATGAAGTTCAAAAATCGCCTTCTACGTTTAAAACTGGGGCGAGCAAGGATTACGTCCAGACTGCAAAGGCTCTCCTGTGGCCGTCCTGGATGGCTTGACTGATGGCTCATTGCAGGCCTTAATTATTCATGGAACTGAATCTTTAAAAGATGCATGCAGCCTGTGGCCCTTAAAATTCTGCTCCAATTCTAAGATAAAAACAGCAACGACCCATCACAGAAAATGACACTACTGGTAGTCTGAATGTGAATATACTTCCTTTCCCATGTGTCTGAAAGGAGAATGTTAGCTGTTGATACATACAGTGAAATGAAGAAATGTGTTTAATGCCAGTTCTTAAGCAGTTAATTCAGTAGCAGAAAGAAAATAATCAGTTCAACTCTTAGGATGTTTCACTGACTTAATGTATGTCAGTCAGACCTTACTGCTTCACATTGTGCTGTTTTCTACTGAAGTGTTCAGTTCCTAGAAAACTTGGAATTTGGATCAAGTAGGTTTTTTTTTTTTTGCTTCGGAACGCATTAGATATCCCATCATGACATGTGAATTACCGTGCACCCTCCTTTTGAACATTTAGGCATTATAGGTTCCAGAGTAAGAATTGACAAAGGCACTGTGAAGGAGCTCCTGAACAGACTAGCCAATATGATCTCAGTTTGTTACATCTATTGGTGTTTGGATAATAGGATAGAGAGTCATAGGACCATAGGGTTGAAAGGGGCTTCAAGCCACTTGCTTAAAGCAGGATCTCCAGATCTCCACTTTTGGACCAGGCAGCCTTTAGGGTTTCCAGGGTTGGGGCATTGCCATCCTATCCTGCCTGATTTTCTAAGCAAGACTGTTAATAAATATGTCATCTTGAGTGTTGTCTGGAATGGTTGGGGTGGGTCATCAATATTTTATTAATAATTCTTGGTAGAGGAAATCCCCACTCACCCAACAGGTTAGATACTGAAACACTATTGGAAAGGGTTGTTGAAGGCTTTCATGGCTGGAATCACTGGTTGCTTTGAGTTTTCTGGGCTGTATGGACATGTTCCAGAAACATTCTCTCCTGACGTTTCACCCACACCTATGGCAGGCATCCTCCGAGGTTGAGGATACCTGCCATGTGGATGAAACATCAGGAGAGAATGCTTCTGGAACATGGCCATACAGTCTGGAAAACTCATAACAACCTACTGTTGGAAAGGTTGAAAATTGGGACTCGGGTTTCTAAAATTTGCAGATACAAGATGAAACACTAGATGGTGCTGAGTCAACTGAAAGGGGGAAAAGCAGTGATCAAAAAGCAGCAGCAGTGGTTGAAAGAGCAAACAAAAGGTCAAAAGTATGGAACATGGCTACAATTCCAGTCTGTGGAGGTGAACATCCAAAAACAAGTTGTTGAAAGAGTGTGTCTGACTGCCTTGACATTTTACCATATAGCTGTGTATGGCATTATTACTGTGTGTTAGGCAAAGAGTTAATGCCTCTGAAAACACTAGCTTTACTTACATCAGTTCTGAGTAATGCCACATAAGGGATAAAATAGTATTTTAAATATAGTTTGATTGTAAAAAAACAAAACAAAAGCAGTGCCTATACTATAGTAGTAGGGTGTTAAATTAAATAGCACTTTGTCATCTAACAACTTGAAGTGTTAAGGTGATCAGTGTCAGAAGTGAGAAACTACAAGTCACTTCTGGTGTGAGAATTATTTGTAGGGATTTTTATTACCTACTGAATTTTAAAATATTTTTTAAAGCGATTAAAAGTTAGCTCCCATAAAGGATCTGTATATCAGTGAGAATAACACAAATTTATTTTGCAGGTGGAACCGTCCAAAGTTGTCCCTTGCCCAGAAGAAAGATCGTGTGGCTCAGAAGAAGGCTAGCTTCCTTCGGGCTCAGGAACGTGTGGCTGATAGTTAAGATGCCTTCCTTGATTTTCTATGAAGATTTTGGAAAACAAAATAAACTTATTGAACCAATGTTGTCAGCCCTGACTTACTGACAGTGAATCGTAGCTGCTCTGGATAAATTGAACAGGTCTAGCCTCCCCCCTCCCCCTCTTAATCTTGTATAAAAATTACAGATGTGCTGATGAAGTTAGTTTTCTTGTGCCAATGGACCCTGCAGTCATTAATCTAAAACAGGGGTCCTCAAACTTTTTAAACAGAGATCCAGTTCACAGCCCACCAGACTGTTGAGGGCCTGGACTATGGTTTGAAAAAAAACACATTGCACATATCTTATTTGTAGTGCAAAGTGTAAAAGAATACAAAATTTAAAATAAAGTAATTTAACCAACAACCTAACCAGTATTCAGTGGGAAGTGTGGGCTTGCTTTGGGCTGAAGAGATAGTCAGTTAGCATCATTGTTGTGTGCCTTCAAGTAATTTCAGACTTAGGGCAACCCTGAGTAAAGTTTAGGGTGGAGTCGAGTAAAGGACCTTGGAGGGATGCATCTGGCCCATGGACCTTAGTTTGTTGATCCGTAATCTACAAACTAAGATCTATGAAAAGATCTACAAGTTGGGTGGAAGCTGTAGCACGCTTCTGTCAGTATGGGTTCCTTCCTATTGGGGAAAATAAATATATGTGATCAATTTTATTTTTTTTACAGCGCCGATATCAAGAGAAATTGTCATGCTACTATCCTTGTTCTGATTATAAATTGATAGGGGTGTGTTGAGATATTATAAGGAGTTCTGTGGTCTGTATTTGACAAACTAGGGGAATCTTCTCCCAGATACTGGAGCCACACTGTGTAATGTTATGCTATTGATTTCCTCACCATCTAATACACTGACAATAATGGCTGGACTTTACTCCCATGGAACATCTTTTTTTTTCCTAAGAAGGTAATTCCCAAAAGGGGGAAGTTAACCAGACTAAGTAGAACTTTAATGTATTACTATTAGTGGGGAATCTTCAGTAACAGTCCTTTCTTCTGCTGCTTATAATACTGAAGGTGCAGCTAACTTCCCGATAGTGAGTGGCTTTGGAACTAATGGAAGAATGGGAAAATTATAGCGTTTGAAGGACCCTGAAACGTCACCCAGTTCCAGCAACCTGTATCATAACTGGGGGCTAACTTCTACATAAATCAATTCCAGAATTGGAAGCACTTCTGTGAAGCTTGATGCTGCTATATATAGGGAGAAGGGTACATAAGAAACAAGATATATAATGTACAGTATTTTTACCAGTTGGGTGTATGATGAAAATATGTACAGTTGGTATTCTGCATACATGGGGACAACCAACTGCTGCTCATAAATATGACGAAAAAATAAGAAATCCCTGGTTTTGCGGTGTGAAAATTCTGCTGTAGGTTCCTACTATTTCATAGATCTTCAGGTTTTTTCAGGCACTTGTTTTGATTATTGTGCCATTGTGAATAATGAGATTTGAGCATTCATGGATTTTTATATCCTTGAACCAAACCACAGCAAATACCAAGAGTCACTGTTAATTTTATACTTAATACTTATTTTTGTCAAGCAGAATCATATAGTTAATAGCTAAATGTAGCACGTTTCTCTCTGAACATCAAGAAAACCAAAGTGCAGACCAGCCAATTCCTCTGCAATGCTAGAAATACAGCTTAATGGTGTAACATTAGAAAAAGTTGACCATTTCCGCTACTTTGGCAGCCACCTCTCCACAAAAGTCAACATTGACACTGAAATACAACATTGCCTGAGCACTGCAAGTGCAGCACTTTTCCAAGTGAAGCAGGGATTGTTTGAGACATCTGTAGGGGTACCAAGGCGCTTGTTTATAAATCATTGTCCTCCCCACCCTGTTATATGGCAGCAAAATGTGGACAGTCTACAATCTACAGACATCACCCTCAACTGGAATGATTCCATCAGTGTTGCCTCCGAAAACTCATGCAAATCTCTTGGTAAGACAGGCGGACAAATGTCAGTGTCCTGGAAGAAGCAAAGAATACCAGCATTGAAGTGATGCTCCTACACCATCAACTGCTGGACTGGCCATGTTGTCCGAATGCCTGATCACCATCTCCCAAAGAAGTTACTATACTCCCAACTCAGGAATGGAAAATGGAATGTTGGACAGGAAAAGAGATTTAAAGATGGGCTTAAAGCTAACCTTAAAAACTGAAACAGACACTGAGAACTGGGAAGCCCTGGCCCTTGAGTGCTCTAGTTGGAGTTCAGCTGTGATCAGCAGTGCTGTGGAAGTCAAAGAGGCATGAGTGGAGGATGAAAGGAAGAAATGTGCTAAGCAGAAGGTCTGTTAAGCCAACCCTGAGCGGGACCGCCTCCCACCTGGAAACTGATGCCCTCATTGTGGAAGAACATGTGGATCAAGAATAGGGCCCCACAGTCATCTACGGACCCACTGCCAAGACACAACACGTGGAGGGGCATCATCCTCTGGCTATAAGGGATTACCTAAGTAAGTGGCACAACACATTCAGCCAGTGCTTCCTCAGTTTCCTACTCTTTTTTTGTTGTGTCAGGAGGGACCTGAGAAACTGCAAGTCACTTCTGGTGTGAGAGAATTGGCCGTCTGCAAGGACATTGCCCAGGGGACACCCGGATGATTTGATGTTTTATCCTTGTGGGAGGCTTCTCTCATGTCCCCGCATGAGGAGCTGGAGCTGATAGAGGGAGCTCATCCGCCTCTCCAGAGATTCGAACTTGTGACCTGTCGGTCTTCAGTCCTGCCGGCACAGGGGTTTAACCCAGTGCACCACTGGGGGCTCCTACTGCATATGGACTGTCATTCCACATCAATGGTTCTCAATTTGTGAGTTCCCAGGTGTTTTGGCCTACAACTCCCAGAAATCCCAGCCAATTTACCAGCTGTGAGGATTTCTGGGAGTTGAAGGCCAAAACACCTGGGGACCCACAGGTTGAGAACCACTGTTCCACATGGTATGCTTAATTTCCTGGCTAATTCCATGGACTGTCAGTAGGGGACACTATAGGCTAACCATTAACTGATGTTCACGCCCCTCAAAAATGAAGCTAGGAAGCATATGGTTTCAACACAATTTATCCCAGTTGAGATTTCCCATTGCAAAAGTTCCAGCTTCTGCTTAGCATCAGGTTCTGGCAGTGAAGAACCAGGTAACTTGAGTCTTACTCATCTTTGTTGAAGGAATATCGAAATGTAAATTATGCCATTGTTGCATCTGAAAGAACCAACAGATGCAAGTATACAGCAGCAGCAATAAATGTGCTGCTTAGCTTCATGCTCCCATACCAGTTGTTCTTTGCCATTTCTAACAGCTTGCGTTTACAGTCCAATTTTGCTTGCATTCCTAAGAGAATTGAGATGGGTTCTTTTCTCCTCTGCTGCCAATTTTCATCTAACAAACACAATTACCAGATAGGGGAAATAGTTCCAGTTTATTGTAAACAATTCATATTCAAAATGAAAACTCCTGAAGATGGGTTTACAGCAATCAAAATGAAATACAGTACAAACTGCATTGAACAAGTTATTCCAAAATTATTTCAAATGTCTAGAAATATTTGGCTCAATATTTTCCCCCACAATGGAGCAATTGCAGTAATGATGTTGTTGACATTCAGGTTTACCTGGCATAGGCATGCCTAGTAAGATAATAGGTTCGTTAGTGGCTGAAAATATTAAATACTGTCCCATAAAAGAGCATCTGTCAATTTTAAAACAAAGCAGACATTGTGCAAGAATATTGTTAGTAAAATATTTACACAAGGCAAAAATGCGCAAAATCCTAGAGCAAATTATTAATGCTTCACGCATGGTACGGAGAACAAAGAATTTTGCTTTGTAAGTGCATGTTCATTGTTTGAAAAAGGGGCTTATTTTTATTTATTTATATTTATTTTTATATACACATATAAAGAAGCATGATTAAAAAAAAAAAAAACCCCAGACAAGACAACCTTAACAGACATCACCCTCATTTTTTCCCTCGTGGAAGTATAAATGAAGAATGGAGAACGTGACTTACTGTCACTCATAGTGTGCACCAATGTTCCACATAAACACTCCCACGCAATGACAAAACTGTCACTGGAAGAGACAGAACTGTCTGTATTGAACTATGGAGCAAAGACAATCCATTTGTGACCAAAGTTGCAAAGTTTTCAGAATTGGAGACTTCACGGCATTGCTTGGGAAATGCACAAAATAATGAAACTGGCCACCATTTATTTTTTCCTTTAAAGTGCTCTTAGGCACACACTTTCACTCTTTTGTGAGCAAAGTGAGACTAGGAAACTACTACAAGGAAATCTTGTTCAAAGGCCAGCTCACCATAAAGTCTTAGAAGTTCATTACACATTTGGAAACAAGTAGTGCTTGGAAAGTTACTTACTAAAAGGCTTGTTCCAATTACTCAAAACAATTATTTAAAAAAGAGTGGCTGCTTCATTCATTGCTTTGTTACTTTTCATTGCTTTTTAGAAAAATCCAAGTAAAACAAATAAAATGGCCTAAAGCCTAAACCGAGAACTTGTCCCGTCCCCCCCAAATAACATGTTATTTTGCTATACCGAGAAAAAGTAAAATAACAACTTGGTCCTTATTTAAGGGGTTCATTGCTATTTTCGACAGCTAGTGGTGTAGTGGTCTGAATGTTGCACAACAGGACCTCATCACACTAGAGAATGAATCCACTTTAGAAACGGTTGCTGCCTCCTGCAGAATTTTGAGGTTTGTAGTTTAAGGAGGAGACTAACAGCCTAATTAAACTACAAACCCCAGAATTCAGCAGAAGGCAGAAACCAGATTTAAAGTGGATTCATTCTCTAGTGCGATGAAGGTGCAGGACTCAAGGAAATCAGTTTGAATCTGCCTAGCCATGGAGACCTATTGGGTCGCACTCTCAGCCTGAGAGGAAGGTAAGGGCAAATCCCTCTCTGAACAAATGCAGCCAAGAGAATTCTGTGATAGGTTCGCCTTTGGGTTGCCCTATATTGGAAATAACCTGAAGGCACACAACAAATGCTATCTCCAAAATAACATCTTAACAGGTAAAAGCCGAGACCCTGTATTACGAATGCGTAACTGTGTATCTTGTCCTGAACTGACTCCCAAACCTATCTTAGCAAACAGCTCCTCTAATTATAGAGGTTTGTTCTGCCAGCACTCGGAGACACAGCGGGATGATGTTTCCAGCCTTTTTCTTTCCTCCAAAAATCTGCAGTGCAACATGGAATTGCAACAGGATTTGGCTCCTGGTTTTCACAGCATCAGTTTCTGGTGGGAAGGGGCTGGAAATGTCATACTGTTGCACCTTGATCACCCCTTAACCCCATCTCTTTCACTCCCTGGAGTTGGAGGGGACATTTCCAACTGCGGCAGTTCTTGTAATTTAGAAGCAGTCACTTGTATTCTACCACAGTGATGGATTTTCAAGTTTTTTAAAATATATATATAATGAATCAATACATAGTATAACTGAAGGCAGGGCATTAATTTTCTGTAACTAATCTGTAACTACAATACAAGATGCCAGCCAGAATTGTTACTTGTAACAGGTTAGAGTAATAGCATTTGCATCCTAGAGTTGAAAGAGACCACAAGGGCCATACAGTCCAATCTCCTGCCATGTAGGAATACACAGTCAAATCACTCTCGATAGATGACATCCAGCCTCTGTTTAAAACCTCCGGAGGACACATTACTTCACTGTCAATTTTTTTTTACCACCAGAAAGTTTTTCCAAATGTTTAGCTGGAATCCTTTTTCCTGCAGTTTGACTCCATTGCTTTGTCTTATTTCCTCTCTAGAGCAGTAGAAAACAGGCGTGCTCCCTCCTCAATATATCTTTTCAAATATTTAAACATGGTGATCATTATCAGCTTACTGCTAAGCATTGCAAATAATATCTAGATGTTCAAACTGATGCATGAAATACATGATCCACAAAACCGTAACAGTTAGTTGGATTGAGTTCTGCATGAATGAACTGGGATTCAACAATGCTGCCTTAATTGCTTATGAATACAGTTGGGCAAAATCCAACTAATATTAAGCATATTTGTTCCTTTGATATCAGTAATCACATCCCTATGGTAATCATGGGAATGAGGCCTGAATTTCTACACCGACCTGGGAGATATTCTCATTGAACCGTATTGGAATTATCTCTCAATGAACATAGAACTGGGCTGCTGGGTGTACTTAGTTTTGGCCACACCGTGCCCTATGGTTTTAAATATTTTACAATCAAGCAACAACCATAACTGGATTACCAGTTGTATTAAAGTTATGATTCTCAGTGCCCCATGTAGAAAACATCAGCTTAAGTGCCCTCATCTTTGTCTTTTGAGCATAAATTTGCTTGCATTAAGACCCAGATGAACATTGTTGTTCCATTTACTTAAATATTGCTGCTTCCATTATGTATGCGAGGGCAACATGCTTCACTTAACATACTTAACCACTAGCATGATAAAAAATCTACTTTTAACTAGGAATTTTTAGCAAACTAAGTAACATTCAGTGTACGCATGAGGTAAATGTGTATACAAATGTAAAAATGTAACAAAAAGGTTGTAGTTCCAAAAACGTCCAGTTCAAAACATTTTGAATTGTCACGCTGCCTTTCTTTCTTAAAAATCACAAATGTGCAAATTCTGCCATGCTAAGGTTAGTAAACACCCCCCACCCCAAATATTCATTTAATTTACAAACAGTCGCTTGGATTCTGCCATGCTTGTTTCTAGTAGTGATAAGTTTTGGGCTTCTTCTTTTTTTTTTTGTAAATTTGTTTCAATTAAAAAACAAACAAATCTCAGATATTTTTTTGTAGCACCACTAACTAGTCAAGGAGTGGTGTGATAAGAAAATAAAGTGTGGAAAAAACAATGGAAACTTTGCACAGCAGTTTTTCAAAACCCCAGGTCTCTTTAGTCCATCACAGGCAGTCCCCAAGTTACAAACAAGATAGTTCTATAGTTTGTATGTAAGTCAGAACAGGTATATTTGAAGTGTAATTCCAGCCATATATATATAGAGAGAGGGGGGGGGAGGCCCCCTGGTGGCAATGTGGGTTAAACTGCTGAGCTGCTGAACTTGCTGACCGAAAGGTCATATCTGGGGAGTGGGTGAGCTCCCGCTGTTAGCCCCAGCTTCTGCCAACCTAGCAGTTTGAAAACAGGCAAATGTGAGATCGATAGGTATCGCTTCTGTGGGAAGGTAACAGTGCTCCTTGCAGTCATGCCAGCCACAAGACCTTAGAGTTGTCTATGGACAAAGTCGGCTCTTCGGCTTAGAAATGGAGATGAGCACCACCCCCAGAGTCGGACTCCACTAGACTTAATGTCAGGGGAAACCTTCTCTCTCTTTCTCTCTCTCTCTCTCTCTCTCTCTCTATATATATATGCTTTGGATAGTATAGGGAGGGTTAACACCCCTGTGGTGTTCGTTTTGCTGTCTCTGCCCCTGCTCATAAGATTTCACCTTACTTTCTGTCCCTGTGATAACTGGATTTTGAAAAAAGAAATGGCTTGATGTAGAAACAATGATTGGTGATAAAGCTTCAGTGGAGACACCTTTCCCCCATGCTGAATCTTCTTGGAGTGAATTTCCCTTTTGAGGGGTATATTTCTCTCACTTCCTGTTGTCTCACCCCCTATCTTAACTACGAATAATTTGTAAGTTGGATGTTTGTAATTTAGGGACTGTCTAAATGCAGGTGGGACATGTATTTTAGTACTCTTCCATTTCAAACAGACACCCTGCCTAACACAACAGGGGTCACACTGATCTAATAACTCTTTATTTGAAATACTAAATTTTCTACGTGCAAAGAATGTGTTTCTTTTTCTCCAAAGGATGAGCTGCTCCAACTTGATCTCTCACTTGCCTTCCAAAGTGGGACAGACCTCCTGGGAGTGTACCAAGTGCTTTCTGTGAAATGTGCAAGTTTGGCTCAGAAAACTAAGTTCATATTGACCGTGTTCCCACAGATCCAAGATGCCCTTCTCCAACTATCTTAACTTATGTAAGGGCAAGAGGAGCACACAGAATCTGTACTCTTCCCCAAATGGGAGTGTTATATAGCCATATGGCTTCAGTAGTCTCTGCCAGATAGATATTTAGAGAACATACATCATTTTCCAACTGGAAAAAAAATCACTGGCGGCAGTGTTTGAAGGAGGACTGATGAAAGATGGAGGCTAAATAAAGAACATTTGAGATCTCGAAGCTACTTTTCACACCAAGTGGTCAACTCCTACAGCAGCAATGGTGTCGCCTTGCGAGACAAAGAAACTTAAGAATCATTTGTATGAGATATTTTCTTCCACAGTAGAGTTTTCAGGTTGTTAAGTATTAAGGAATGCTCCATTTCCATCTGGTTTGCTGAAACTTTCAAAGCAATGCACGAGTACAGTTGCTTTTCTAACTCTTCATGTATTTCCAGCGGAGCCCCACGAAGCAAGTAGTCTTTAAGCAACTGGCACACCTTGGCTAGGTTTGGCTGAATGATGTCTGCAGTACATTTCATTTTACTTTGGTCACATACAGTTCTACAGTCTGACCCATACACGCAATCCAGATCAGACTCACAGTGACGATCTTTAATTAGTTCTTTCAAATTCATTTCCGGCACTATTTTTCGCATATCCACCATTTTTAAGTCATATTTATCGTTGTAACCCAAGTTTTTGGCACTCGTTTCACACATAAGGAAGTTCCCATACGGTCCGTGGAAAATGTCTTCCACAAATTCTAGAAGCCCTATGGCTATTTTTGCCTTTCGAGGCCACGATGGAGTAAACCACTGATCTATGCTTCTTCTGAAGCCGGAGGGAAGAAAAAGTTCTATGACCCATGGAAGACTTATTCCAAAGAGAGAGGTATATTCCACTTTTTCCATCACATAAAGATCCCCACAAAATCCCAACAGTTTGGGAGTATGCTCTTTATCCTGGAGTATTACCATGAGCAGAAACTCATTCAGCTGAAGAAGGGCCCATGCTGACTTTGCTTCTGGCAAAGAAACCCGGCCATCTTTGTTCCCATCAGCAACAGACAAGATGAGATTAACCAACTCGGGAAGATTTCCTTGCTCACCTAGTTTTTCCTAGAAAGAAGTTTGAGTAAATAGTCAAATATTGTACATGTTCAGTTTTTTTAAAAAAGGCTGGAATCCCTTTGGGAGCTTACATCTTCTTAAGTCAGTGTTTCCCAACCTTCCTAATGCCATGACCCCTTAATACAGTTCCTCGTGTTGGGGTGACCCCCAACCATAACATTATTTTTGTTGCTACTTCATAAATGTAACTTTGCTACTATTATGAATTGTAATGTAAGTATCTGATATGCAGGATATATTTTCATTCACTGGGCCAAATTTGGCACAAATACCCAATACGCCAAAATTTGAATACTGATGGGGTTGCAGGGGATTGATGTTGTCATTTGGGAGTTGTAGTTGCTGGGATTTATAGTTCACCAACAATCAAAGAGCATTCTGAACTCCACCAATGATGGAATTGAACCCAACTTGGCACACAGAACTCTCATGACCAACAGAAAACCCTGGAAGGGTTTGATGGGCATTGACCTTGAGTTTTGGAGTTGTAGTTCACCTATATCCAGAGAGCACTGTGGACTCAATGATAGGTCAGGACCAAACTTGGAATGAATAATATACTCAAATGTGAACACCGGTGGAGTTTTGGAAAAACAGATCTTGACATTTGGGAGTTGTAGTTCCTGGGTTTTATAGTTCACCTACAATCAAAGAACATTCTGAATCCCACCAGCAATAGAATTGGGCCAAACTTTCCACACAGAACCTCCATACCTTGAAGAGAATAATTGGTGTGAGCCTCCCTCCAAACGTGTATGCTCTCCCTCACCCGCACATGTGCACCACGTTGCCCTGCGCTGAGCACACCTACTCTCCTCTCCCTGCTTGGAGTCTCAGAAACAGCCCTCCCCTTGGCAGAGAGCCTAGCCAATCACAGCGGAGAAGGGCTTTTGGTGGGAGGATTTGCCGTCTGTTTCCAAAAAGGAAGAGAAGGACAGGCAGAGAGATCTTCAGCCTTCTATGTCAAAGAGGTTCCTAAGACCATCAGAAATATATGTTTTCTGATGGTCTTTGGCAACCCCTCTGAAACCTCCTCATGACCCCTCCCAGGGGTCCCAACCCCCCAGGTTAAGAAACACTATCTTAAGTGGTCCTCCATGTGCAGGTATGAGAACTGTGCAGTTGTATAATATCCTTATCCAGTACTGGGTTGCTGCTGTATTACCAGAGCAAGCAAGAGAGCTCGATGTGCATTGGTGCCAAATGCTCAACAGGACCAATATGCATCAGTTTCAATGCTCATTAGTCCCCAATGCACATTGGGCGCTTAGGCTTATGTCCCACAACATATCTTTGTAATTTAGCACAGTGGTTTTACAGCACCTCTGGTACAAAGGTAGGCATGTGTGACGTTAAATAACATAACCGGTCATATACAGTTCTGGTGCTGAATTCGTATTAGTAAACTAAAGGTTTCCACTGACATTAAGTCTAGTCATGTCCGACTCTGGGGGTTGCTCTTCTCCATTTCTAAGCCGAAGGGTTGGCGTTGTCTGTAGAACCTCCAAGGTCATGTGGCCATCATGACTGCATGGAGTGCCGTTACCTCTCCACAGAAGTGGTACCTATTGATCTACTCACATTTGCATGGTTTTCGAACTACTAGGTGGGCTAACAATGGGAACTCAACCGACTCCCTGGATTCGAACCACCAACCTTTCAGTCAGCAAGTTCAGCAGCTCAGTGGTTTAACCCACTGTGCCACCAGCGGGCCCAGAACGTATATTAGTGATTGAATTATATTGCTGCTACCAATATAGTTCATGAACTTTTAAAAAGTCATGATATCCCTATGATTTGAAAGATAAATATATAGTGCTTAACATACATCTTCTAACTCAGAATTTCTCAAACTGTGCTCTTCCAGATGTTTTGGACTTCAACCCCCACAATTCCTAACATCTGGTAAGATGGCTAGGATTTCTGGGAGCTGAAGTTCAAAATACCTGGAGAAGCACAGTTTGAGAGACACTGTTCTAATTCAAATTAGTGTCACATGAACAAGTAATCACACTTGTGACTGAAAATAAGAGAGCATAACAGTCGTTCCAATGACACCAATTACGCAACTACTAATGCAAAACAAATGTGAAACTCTCCAAGTGTAGAAAAGATCATGGAATATTCCATGATTTAAAATAAGTGGTTCTAAATGTTTGAAATACTTTTAACGATTGTTTTGGTGTATATATTTATTTTATTGATATATGTTCTTATGGCATCGAATCACTGCCTAAATATGTGAGCCGCCCTGAATCCTCCACAGGGTGAGAAGGGTGGGGTATAAATATGGTAAATAAATAAATAAATAAATAAATAAACCTTAGTCTGTTTGTGTATTGCAATGGCATAAGTTGGTCAGTTTTTAAAATCATCGTGGAGGTCAGAATACTTTTCCCCATGAACGCCAAAATCCCTTCAAAATCTATTTTGTAAAGAGTGCGCCCCATAGCTATTTTCACAAGGTCAGAGAGTGGGAGGATGAGTGGGCATGTGTCCAGCAATTTTCCTGCAGTTGGACATGTTGCAAGGATATCATCTGTAGACACTTCATGAGGATCCTATGAAGTAGATGCCAGTTGTTATGAGTCCAACTGATGGCAAATACACCACGCTCATGCCCTGCACTCACCTACAATGCAGAAATTACCATGTAAGGTGCACTGTGCTGCTTATAAGGTAACTTTGGGGTGTTGTCATCAGAAGACATAACTATGAAGATGTAGCTATGTGATAGATGAATGTATTTGGCCAAGTTGCTCAAAACATTAAGGCCCAAAACTTCCAGAAGACTAGCATCCTAGACCACTGGTTCCCAAACTTCTTTTGACCAGGGACCACTTGACCATGGACCACTTTAACCAGGGTCCAATTTGACCAGGGACCACTCTCCAACGTTAGTACCAAAAGGGTTACAAATCAGTTTTTGGTCAACTTTAAATTTGGTTATTTAGGGTGCTGATTCAGAAAATTGCATTTGACAGACCACATTGGCTCTAGTTGCTGATACAGAACATATGCATCCAGTAGTCACCATCTGCTCATGCACAGAAAACCATATTTAATCATGTAGAGCTGATGTGGTAGTAGTAATCTTTCATGGGTAGTCAGCCTCTCCCCTTCAGGCATCCCTGTTGCCTTGGAACTATGAGAAGGTTTTGTGAGACCAGTCACTCTCATTGCCGCATGGTTTTGAGGCAACTATGTAGTAATGGTGAGGCCACAGACCATATTTTCATTCCTGCGGACCACTTGTGGTCCATGGATCACAGGTTGGGAACCACTGTCCTAGACTATAGAATCTCTGGTTCTCCTTCAGTAAATCAGAATTATAGTACATGAAGAGGAGATAAGACTTTTTCCTCTTGATGAAAAATCACTCACCACTGCAAATGATAATGAGCCCCCACCCCAGCCCCCCAAACCTGAACTGCTATTTGTAGTGCAAGCAGCTCAGGTTTGGGTCAGATTCAAGGCAGGGGAAAGAAGATTTAATTCAAGTAAAAACCTATCTAACATAGTATTTTAAAAAATTAAAAGGTCTTGATGCTGCTTCAAGCAAAACTCTTGATCCAGTACTTCAAAGCAATGCCTACAGGAAATATTATAGATTCATGCATATTATGAGTTCTTTTAGCTAAGCAGCCAGCACTGGGGATTTGAAATGGTACAGGGAAAGAGGACAGAAGATACTCACTTTAAAAAGGCCATAGACCATCTCCTTGAACTTCTGAACAGTAGTTCCTCTCGTTGGTTTATCAAACAGAATAGTTTCCTTTCTTGGTTCTAGCTCAGTTCTGAGATCAATGTGAGCAATTTCTTCCATCTGGCATTTGATAACACCTTGGAGATTTCCCCAAGCTCCTAAATACATCTGTAGAAGATAAAAGATTTGAATTCTGTTGGGTCTTTGTAAATGGACCTACATTTGCAGAAATTAGAATGAGGCATTTCCATAATGTTTGCATGCAGTAAAGGGTTTCTGTTAAGTTACTACATAGGGGAGTCATGAAGTGACCCATGTGCATTCGTTTCTGTTGCGATGCTCTTGCTGGTATTCTGTTGTGTATCTTTGCAATTCACTAAACAGGGTTTCTTAGTGACTCCACTACAGCTAAGTATATGGAAAGGACATAACTTACAGTGCTAATAATTAATGCAGATGGACACCATGTTAACTGCCATGGCTCAGTGATATGGAATAATAGAAGTTGTAGTTTTATAAGATCTTTACCATACTCTGCCAAAGAGTGCTAGTGTCAAACCACGTCAACTCTACAGTATAGATGCACCCCAGGACTCACTTGGGCTGAGAAATGTGAGGAGAATTTCAGGAGAGGGGAAAGGAAAAGAAGACAACTGTACCCCTTCCTGTGTTTCTAAATCATTTCCCATGTTTGCTGTGAAGTCTACAAAGAACCAACTTTGGGTTTGGTTGAAATACCCAAAGCCAAATACCTTATTTACACATAGCAAGGGAACAAAGTTTACACAAAGGTAGAAGGGCAATTCTGGTTAAAGAAGAAACGCAATCTTTTTTATTCTTTCCTTCCTGATGCCTCCCCACATATAATATAGAATGAGATGTTGAAATCTAAGGACAAAAATTTCCCGCAAGCTTCATTCTATGCTTCTTAAATCATCTGATGTCAGGGATCAGCAGGTCTTTTACTCTCTTTATTTGTGCCTATGAACTACAACTGTTTTTTCCTTTCCTGGAAACATACTGCAGCCCTTGGCTCATGAACAAGCACCAGATCATAGACCACCACATTGAGTAGCACTGATATAAAGTGCTAAAGTAGGTCAGGTTCAATCACAGTATTATCTTTCTAATACAATGGACATGTCTAACATTCCATTGGTTCTGGAAATTACTTTTTTTGTGTGTCGGGAGCAACTTGAGAAATTGCAAGTCACTTCTGGTGTGAGACAATTGTCCATCTACAAGGATGTTGCCCAGGGGACACCCGGATGTTTTGATGTTTTACCATCCTTGTGGAAGGCTTCTCTCATGTCTCCGCATGGGGAGCTGGAGCTGACAGAGGGAGCTCATTCACACTCTCCCCGGATTCAAACTTCCGACCTGTCGGTCTTCAGTCCTGCCAGCACAAAGGTTTAACCCACTGCGCCAATGGAGGCTCCTTTGGAAGTTACTAAAACATAGGCAATTCTTTTTGAAGCTTCCAATCCAAAATCTGCTGGACAATTTGTATTTTAATATGCACCTATCTAAGTAGGGATGAGACATGTTGCATTATCACGGGGTGTCTGCGCCCTACACCACTGGAGAAATTACACTGCTTAGCTGTATTGTACCACCTGACATCCGCCGGGAAGTAGCAGCCAATAGTGAAACGACCAAGGCAGTGACATCTCCAGCTCATCCCTTGTTTGGGTATCAGCCAGCACGTCAACGACTTAAATCAAGAAATAGTTTTCTAAGATCTACAGAGACACTCGCTGGAACACATCAGCAAGCAAGAGTCCAAAAGTGGCAGGCTCAAACCCAGAACCTCAACCAATGGCTGATACCCCCTGGGCACACAGAAGACTGGGCGACTTGGAAGGCACTGAACCACAAGATGCAGAGCCAATCTTAAGAAATGGGGCTACAAAGTGGAATCCACGACATACGAGTGTGGAGAAGAGCAAACCACTGACCACCTGCTGCAATGCAACCTGAGCCCTGCTACATGCACAATGGAGGACCTTCTTGCGGCAACACCAGAGGCACTCCAAGTGGCCAGATACTGGTCAAAGGACATTTAATCAACGACCAAGCTTTCAAACTTTGTGTTTTGTCTGTTTGTTTGGTTGTTTTGTTCTGTTAGAAATGTAATACAATTGTCTGGTTGCCCCTGACACGATAAATAAAATAAGTAGGGAGTCCTTGTTATAAAAAACCATTTCCTTACTTTTAGTTAGACAGAAGGTGACTACTTCAGGTTTGGTCAATGTACTGTAGAAGGCACTATATTGTGTCATCAAAAATCCAGAAGAGGCAGTTTAATACATTTCCTTTGATTTAGAAAGGAACTATAGAAAGAAGTCATACCTGATTGTTGGGTTTGGTTGACAAACATTTCCCAAAATACAGTGTTTGTCTTGTACAAAGGCTACTACAAGCAGATCCGTCTATAACGCCAGTCTTGTACTTATCACACTGGGGGGAAAAACAACAGAGAAGATCACCACCTGAGAATCATTCCATTACGAATGTTGATTAGTGTTCTAAGCTTAAACACAGGTGGAAGTCTTGAAAGGGCTTATTTTATGCAATGATGATTAGACTACATAGTATTGTTGTCTGCCTTAAGGTCATTTCCAAATTATGGTGAACCAACAGGGTTCAAATCCCTGCTTGGTGCCTCTAAGCAAGTCACATATCTCCACCCCTAAAAAAACTTGTGATAGCATTGCCATAATTGGAAATGAATGGAAGGCACACAATAACAACAAAGTGAATCTATTATGGACTTTTTGTGACAAGATTATTCTGAAGGTTTATTTTCTCTGCCCTCCTATGACATTGACAGAATGTCACTGACCAAATGTCACACACTTCTATTGCCAAGCAGAGATCTGAACTTTGCTCTGACAAACCATTACACCATGCTGACTCTCTGCCTGCTTACAGATATACACAGGTATAGTTTACATAAGGTAAAGGTAAAGGTTTCCCCTTGACATGAAGTCTAGTCGTGTCTGACTTTGGGGGGTGGTGCTCATCTCCACTTCTAAGCTGAAGAGCTGGCGTTGTCCAGAGACATCTCCTAGGTCATGTGGCCGGCATGACTGCATGGAGTGCCGTTACCTTCCCACCGAAACAGTACTTATTGATCTACTCACATTTGCATGTTTTCGAACTGCTAGGTTGGCAGAAGCTGGGGTTGACAGTGGGAGCTCACCCCACTCCTTGGAGTCAAACCACCAACCTTTTGGTCAGCAAGTTCAGCAGCTCAGTGGTTTAACCTGCTGCACCACCGGGTTTTTACATATATCCCTATATTTATTGGTCTAGATGGGATCAGTATCTGAACTAACTACCATGATTTTGGTTCAATGGGGCATATAGATACAACATTTCAGTCCCAGCAGTGTCCTTGCTTCAGAACCCATTGCTGATATTTTTTACTTATTTGCCACACACCAAGTATTTTCTACATTTCATAAAACTCTACACATCCATAGTTCACTCTGAGGATTCATTTTGCTTCACAATTCCAAGAACATAATTCCATTCATACCTGAATCTGACGTTAATCACCCACTGGTTTCTTTATTCTGTTCTTGCACACCATTTCCAATCAGAGTAAGAATGGTTTCATTTTTGTTCAGTAATAATTTTTCATTTTTTTAAAAAAATGTGTTTTTCTTGCTGTACGTGGTAGCTCATGAGAAAGGCTATTTGTGAAGCCGTAGTATTTGACTTCTGGAGTTTTGCAGTTTGGTGCCATCTGTACGCAGATGGCACACAACTCTACTCCTCATTTTCACTGAAGTCCAAGGAAGCTCCTCGTATCCTGAACCAGTGCCTGGCAGCTGTGACAGGTTGGATGAGGGCTAACAAATGGAATCCAGACAAGACAGAGGCTCTCTTGGGCAGTCATGAGGCCAACTGGGGTATAGGGTGGCAACCTGTGCTCGACGGGGTTACACTCCCCATGAGAACACAGGTTCAAAGGCTGGGGGTCATCCTGGACTCAATGCTGACGCTTGAGGCTCAGGTGTCATCTGTGGCCAGGAGGGCCTTCACACAGTTAAAACTTGTGCACCAGCTGTGGCTGTTCCTCAGGAAGCCAGACCTGACCAGTGTTCCATGCCTTAGGTATATCTCATATGGATTACTGCAATGAACTCTATGTGGGGCTGTGGATCGGAAGCTCCAATTAGTACAAAGATCTGCAGCCAAGCTGCTGACTGGGATGGGTCATAGAGAACACACAACTCCCTTTTTGAAGCAGCTTCATTGGTTGCCTATTTGGTTCCAGGCCCAATTCAAAGTTCAGTTTATTACCTATAAAGCCCTATATGGTTCAGGTCCTGCCGATTTACACGACAGCATCTCCCTTTATGAACCTCTTGAGGTTTTAAGATTGGCTGTGGTGGCCCTACTCTCAATCCTGCCTCCATTGTAAGTGAGGTTGGTGGGGATGAGGGAGAGGGTCTACTCAATAGTGCCCCCCCCCCACTCTGGATTTCCCTCCCCAGCCAGATCAGACAAGCAACCACCCTCAAGACTTTTAAGAAGGACTTGAAGACTTGGCTATTTAAGAAGGCTTTTGAAAATGATTAGTAAGCCTTAAAGTTTTTGATACATTTGGGCACGTTGGGCTATTGGAACCATTATGTTTTAAATGTGTTTAATTAATGTTTTTACTGTTTATTGTTGAATTGTTATTTTGTTATAGTTGTTTTCCTTATTGTCATTTACTTTGTATATATTGTTTGTTGTGTTTTACTTATGTTGTGAGTGGCCTTGAGTCCTTTTGGAGAGATGAGGCGGGATAGGAATAAAGATGATGATAATGATGATGATGATTACTATTTACACAATTGCAAAAGCAAAACGCAGGAAAAAAAGTTGTCCCAACGCAAAGCTTAGAGGTGTATATCCATTCCCACTGATTAATGACCATGGCACTACTGTTACAATTGCAAATACTCCTCCTCCCTGCCATAAGCCATTTTAAACTCAAGGGAACCCATAGTGTAACATACCTCTGGGATGGGGAGGTTTAACTACACTGTCCTGCATCTCAGATCTCAATTTATCAGAACAGATTCCCTGAATTTAAGGTAGGTTCCCAAGGCTAATTTCCTTATGTCATGTTTATGTAATTATGAATGCAATGTAGGATCTCAGTAATTATATATCATTAAAGTTTATTATTTCCATCATGATAAATGTATACAAATATTAGAGATAGGATAAAAGAATGCCAACAAGATAGACTTTAACAGAGCCCATTAATACTTACTATTATTTTCTTGCAGTCATGTCCTCTGCAAAGTTCTGTGTAAGAGGAATACTGAACATAAATAATCCAGCTGCCAACGAATACTCCAAGCCAAGAAAAGAAGAGATATTTCATCCGCATATAAGAGAGGCGGCCCTTAAGGTAGAAACAGACAAGAGAGGTGGTTTCAGTCATGTATGATGACATCTTGTTTATCCTAGTTCCACTGTGTTACCAACAAAGAAGCTTACGTTCCCTTCCTCATTTTAGGGGGGGGAAATGGAGAAACGTGCTGATTTTGAAAGGTGTGTAACTACAGATGTATTTACACTGCAGAATTAATGCAGTTTACATCACTCTAATTGACATGGCTCAATGCTATGGAAGCATGGGAGCTGTAATTTGGTGAGGCACCAGCTATATTTGGCAGAGAAGATTAAAGACCTTGTAAAACTGCAACTGATATCATTGAACCATGGTGTTAAACCTCATTCATTCTACAGTGCAGATGCACCCTACAGGTACTCTTGCATCATGTGAAAAAAATCACCAACATACTGCACGTTAAACCACCTCTAGAGCAAAATATAAAAAACTATAAGGGTAATACAATAAAAGTGTAGGGAGCAAGAAATGGTACCATATGCTATTATCAATATTTTACCAATAATCAGTCTAGATAGGGCTTCCTGCTTTCCAGCAACTTTTGTTTTGGTGTAGGGCTGGGGATGGGAGGCTCTGGTGTGGTCTGGGGACACTATCCGTGACCATCCAGTGTAGTTATGCCATTGTCACAGAGCCAATTTGCCCTTGCCTTACATGCATATAAGTTATTCTATTACATGCTCACATAGTATGTTTGCTTGTGTGATCTCAGGGCCCTTCCAGATAGGACCTATATCTCAGGATCTGATCCCAGGTTTTCTGTATCACAGATTATCTGGCAGTGCGGACTCATATAATCAAGTTTAAAGGAGAAAATCCGGGAGCAGATCCTGAGATATAGGGCCTGTCTGGAAGGGTACACAGTCAGCAATAAGGCTATTCCTTTTGCTATCCCACACTAGAAGCAGTAAAACAAGAGGAAAGTTGGGAGCTTAGTCTTAGGGCCTTTCCACACAGACCTAGATCCCAGAATATCAAGGCAGAAAATCCCACGTTATCTGCTTTGAACTAGGTTATTTGAGGGCCCTTCCACGCAGAATATCAAGGAAGAAAATCCCACAATATATGTTTTGAACTGGGTTATCTGAGTCCACACTGCCATGTATTCCAGTTCAAAACAGATAATGTGGGATTTTATTCAGCTGTGTGGAAGGGGCCCTAATCTACACTCAGATAATGTGGGATTTTCTGCCTTGATATTCTGGGATAGTGCGCTGTGTGGAAGGGCCCCCAGTCCCAACAGGTTAAGTTCTTCCACAACAGTTCAGTTAGCACACCACCACCAATGATTGCAGTCCCCTGCTCTTATTGCAGCTCTGTCTGGCTGAAAAGAAAGGAAGCTCTATGTGAATCCAACAAATATAACATGATCTGGGGGAACACTCAGAAAGGTGCCAGATTTCCTCTTTGACTTTTGTCTGTGTAATGTCCAGAATTCATCACAATGTGGTTCCACAACTAAACCACGGATTGAGTGATAAGTTAGGGATGGTTAGAAATGTACTTTGATGAACTGTGGGAAACAGACAGGGATAGATACACTATTGTTTCCCCCAACTAGTTTATCATTCTTGCAACACAGCAACCAAATGTACAACTACAGGCGGTGCCCAAAATGAAGCTTTTTATTATGCAACTGGCATGATATGTTAAGGGATCATAAGGGATCCTGACAGCCTGTTTCACTTGCAGCCTCTTCCTGATTTGCTGCTGTTCTGTCTGTTGTCTAATTTCTACAGGGTGTGTATGGTATTGACAATGGAAAAACAGAATTGTTGCTCAATGTCCTTTAATTAATAGTACTAGAAGCTGTCTGACTGGAATCACTCTCATGAGAAACCAGACTTGAAGTATGACAACAATATCCTTCTTAACAGTCATTTTTAAACATACAATTGGGATTTTCTAATTTGGCCTTCGGAGGTTGTTGCAGTCTTGCTAATTTTGTGGCTGCTTCCACGACAACGAAAAGTCTTTCATCTGATTGTTTGTTTGTTTGTGAGGGAAGAAGAAAAATGTTCAAAGACCAAATATTAAAATCTAAGTGGATGTACTTGGAAATCTTATATTTTAAAATAGGTTTGAAGGACATCGAAAATCTTTCCAAATCAGAAAACATTACCCTACTTATTCAACTGTTTTAGCTGAGTTTTGCTTTGTACAATGAAACTGAAAGCCAGGCTTAAAAAGGAAACAGAGAGCCACCATAGGACTAGCTGCCTCTACTTTTTGTCAGATGTCTAGGTTCAAAGTACAATGCTACTATGTAACAAAATTTGAAAACATTTCTGTTCTTGATTTGAAAGTCCTGTTTTATGGTGTTTTACTTACTTTGAAAGTAGTTGTTATACTCCAGAAACTTCATTTTTGTGGCTGCCACAAACTATATTGAATTGGTTGCAGTTTAATAAACCTTTTTGATTTCTTCATGATATAATCAATTAGGAAATGACATTTATAACCCAAGAACTAACACATAGTGTAATGGCACCCAAGTGTCAGCCCAGCTCACTGTTTACCTAAGCAGCTTTAAAACAGCTTGAGCTGTAAGTAGAGAAATTAGGTACCCCTAAAACAAGAGGGGGAGGTATTTTGCAACACCATAAAGAGAAAGATTCTTGGTGAGCAAAAGGAAGGAGGAAGTCCTGGTGGCTCTTCGTCATAGGGGATGGAGCGATAGCACCACCCTGTGGCTGGATTCGAGCACAATCTCCAAGGCGTCAAAACAGCTGGACGTTGACACAACATACCTCCTTTCTGTTCTGTCTGTCTCTGTCCTGCCTATCCAAAATGTCACTGAATGTTTGCGGTGTAAGTGTACTGTGATCTGCCCTGATTCCCTTGGGGAGACGGGGCAGAATAGAAATAAAGTGTTATTATTATTATTATATATTAAATGCAATTTTTCACAGTAACAAAAATAGCAGCTTCATGTGTGCTTGAGTGGATTAAATTCCAGCGGGAATACACCGCTTAGAGGAGAGAAGCTAAATCTCCATTCTTGTGCAATCTGAATTTGATCCATCAGTGAAACTGTAAAATGGGAGATTTATCAGCTTTGTTTAGTTTGACTCTGAGCATGACATCTTAAAAGTTAAAGAAGATTAAAGGGAAGAATTGTGAAGGAATAAATGGAAGATAACAGACTTTAATAGTGGTATGTTTTAAACATGTTTTTACGATCAACTTGTTTTTTTAAAAAAAATAGAAATAGGATGAGCTGGCTTTGGAAGTCTGGCCAAGAAAAGAAGATGCTACAGGACACAGCAGTCCCATAAATGGAATTCCAGGGGAGCATTCAGTGGACAGACAATCAGAATACAGTGAGCAGCAATTCCTAAGAAAACCCTTTCCCCGTGGGCCTCAAAGCACAATGGGCTTATTCATGAGTCTCACTGTTCACATCTCTGCTTTCAAAGGTATCAGACACGACCAAAAAGAAAACTGACTTTGCTGCCTGTCTGGTATCACAGGGTCTCTGAGAGTTTTCGCCTCTTAGAGAATCATAATACGGTGGTACTTTCCTTGTCATAGCAGAAGGTTGCACCTGTTTCACTATCACCCCTTCTAAGATGCAGACATGAAAGTTGTAAGCATTCAAAGTCTGGTACAGAAACAACACTGAACACATTGGATCAGGGTCACTTTTTATTTGGGGCAGGGGGAATACCACTTCCTTGCAGATACTCCTTGCAGACCAGTTGCAGCTAGTACTACATTTGAATAGCTTCACAGGGAACAGTGTTATTGCTTTGACTGCGTTGCAGTTCTATCTGAAACTGTTCTACAGAACTCAAATAGGGTGGGTAAGGGTTCACATTTGTATACATTCCATATCTATTGTAGATCAACCACAGGCTGATAGTTTAGCTGATGATTTAGAGAGGATTGTGAACTTTCCTGTGGCACAAATTGATGGGCTTTCAGGACTGGGAAATTCAAGTCTGGGTAATGATAGTTTTCTCTGTGAGAAAACTGGCTCAGAAGGTACAGGGCCTCAAGGGGATTCAGGGGAGTCAGAAGTAGCAACAGTAGATAAGGAATCAAGTCAAGAGCTGAGTGATAAGGAGGGTTCCCATGAGAACACAACTTTAACTATGGAGATCAACAAATTGTTTTAATTACAAATCAGAGCCAAAAATAGATTGTGTCATTCAGAGAGATAATGTGGGAAAGTTGCGAAGGGAATTCACAGGAAACGGAATGATTTCATGGGTGTCTATTAGACAACAAGTTGTTTACCTGAAGGTCAGTTTAGGCAACGCTGCATTAGAGCGAGAAGCTAAGCTTGAGTCCTCTTGTTCCTGATTTAAGTCAAGCTTTGATTTTGGAAGTTTTCTATGCTCCTGTTCAAGTTTTACTAGTTATACCTTCTGGATTGTGGACTTCTATCGTATCTGTGATTTCTGGCTGTTCCTGGACTTTGTCACCTCTGGAACTTTATGAGACATTTGGATTATTGTCTGGTGATCACCTGTTGCTAAACCTTTTTGGGTGATATATCTTTTATTACTGATTTTATATGCTTTTTATATGTTTTTCCAATATTCCGGACTCTTGTGTGGTGCAGTGGTCATAGATGTTTCCTGGCCTGGAGTGCAACAATATCTTTAAGAATTGCCAAATGGTTCCTTCCTGGCTTTGTGAACATACAATTTAAAAACTTTTAGGGTGACTGAATAGATAAATATTAGATTGTGTCTCTAACAACAGCTGAGCTGACCAAGAGTTAATCATGCCATGTTTGGTCAAAAGCACAAATCATTCCTTAAGGTGATTTAGGATCTCTTCATGTCAGCATCTGTTCATCCCTCATTGCCCAGGCATTCAAAACTTCAAGAGTTTACTTGCAAGTCATATTTGGAGATGGCATTCAAGATGTTGCTGTAGTTACATGCCGTTCTACCCTCAAGCAGCTGTTCTTCAGTTATCTTAAGAATCGTACCCAACTTCTTACTAACTAAGCAAAATTGTGACCTGAATGTGTAGGA